TTGTGATCTTATTACTCTTCCGTCGCCATCATATTTATGAAACCTGATATTTTACCTGTCCAGCTTCATTGCCCTGGGCTTATTTGGACCCATGAACTTCTCATTCTCAGTGAGGGCGTGGCGGAAGTGACATCGGTGACCATATGGGCAGGCAACACCAGCAAGGACCATCCTGCAGACCTCTGTCTTGTAGCGTGGGTGTCGAATCACCGGGCGGAGCTCCTCAATCCCATGTGCAAATTGGCAGTGTTCTCCGTAAGGGCATTCACCGGTCTCCTGCCATTTGTTGCAGAGTTCAGTCTTGAACATGCCTTGGTTGTACACCTCCAATTCAAGTGGCTCCTGCTCCTTCCTCCCTCCAGCAGGAACGTACACCTTTTGCTGCATCACCGTGATCAGTGCCCACCACCATCAGTACACAAAAAACATTAATTGAGACAGTACGTACATTTGAGTAATATTTCAAGAATTGTAAAGATAGAATCATATAATCTCTACTGTGTCAATGTACATGTACTTAATGCATTATGCATTGTCTATAACAAATGACTCTCTTACGCGTTATCAGGTGCAGTGTGCATATGGATTATTGACGTACATATTCCATGAAATGAATCAAAACTGGGTGTTTGGGCTCTTTACATCATCCCAATGTCAAACAATAACTGCATATTGCTCATGTAAATGAAATTGCAGCCTAAATCCTAGGATCCCAAATAAGATTTCCACGGCAAAAAATAAAATTGAAGCAAAAATGCAGAAAAGGAAAAACTGGTTTTATTGAAATATGAACAGATACTGCATTATTTTGCACTACTTCAAGTTTAAGAAACACGTGCGATGAGATCAAGCAAGTTCTTTCTAGTACTCGATGGATCTCATCCTCCATTGGTGAACATTTTCAAGCAATTCCACTTCTCAATCTAATTAGTTAACCCTGAAGTAGCAGTCTAATTACCGCAATAAAAAATTAAAAATCAATCGCTACGTTTCTTAGTAGTGAGCCACACAAACAGACGAAGTAAAATAAAAATCGCATAGCAATTAGACTACAAATCAAGAAGGATCTTTTTTGTGAATTAAATAAAAGAAAATTCAATAGTAGAGTAAATCGGAAATGACTTACTGAAGCGTTGAATGTAGTGGCGGTGCGAGGCCGAGTCGCGGCCCGAGTCCCAGCGGCAGTGCTAGGACCGGGCTGAGCAACCTTCACGTATCCATTAGACCTCACAGATATGCTCTTAGGCAGCGTAAACCTCTCCACATCAATATTCTCGGCGTCGGCGCCTTCGCTCTCGATCACGCTGGTAGGGCTCTCGTCGGACTCATCCTCCTCTGCTCGTTTGTCATCAATACTCATGCCGTGAAGCCTATTTACGATCCCAAACGGTGTCGTCTCCACAGAACCGGGGGAAACGAACTGTTTCTGGACGGAGGCGTGGATAAGGAGACTGAGATGCTTGTTGAGCTCGAGATTGAGGGCGCGGAGATGAATGTTCTCGCGGCGGAGAGCGTCGGCTTCCTCGGAGGCTTCGTGGAGTTGCTTGAGGGTGCGGCTATGGCGGTTGACCATCTCCTGGTGGTCTTGGACGAGGAGAGAGTGGTAGAGTTGGCGGTGGGGGTGATTAGAGGACACGTCGGGCTCCGATTCGTTGTATCGAGCGAGGGACGGCTTGCG